TCTAATTATTTAGGTATTAATTATGGAGGTAACATTTGCTTCTTGCAATGTCAATAATTGGGAAGAAGAAAAATGGTCAAACAGGTGAAGTTGCAAAACAGTTTCAAGGCTTCAGTCACAAATATATGTCTATCCTGCCCTTCAAAATATACCTGAGAATAACTCCCACACAAAAGCGTAATTGAGGAAGCGGAAATATCCATTTGCTAAAAGGCCGGTAATGTAGTGGAGCCCTATCATCTTAGTGATGAAAGAAGAAATGCATTATAATCAAAGCTCAATTTCCATCCTTCTGCAACCTTTGATATTGCTACATTAAAAAAGATACTAGTGCATTTCCCCAATTCTCAATAAAGACAAAATGACAGAGGGCTGTAAGCTGGCTTCGATTTGTTATAGTTTCCTGTATCAGTAAGGAAACCGAAGAAAAGACTGTAACGAGACAGAATTAAGGGTTTCAGGTAATTATTTCTCCCATCTTGACAGAACTCCAGTTTTCTTTAGCTATCCAACATCCTGCGGTCATATAACACACTCAGTAGAGGTATGTTATACTAATGGATAACGGTAATGACTAATCCAACCTCTGGACAGTCCCATTCCCTGTCCATGGCTGAGCTAGGCACAGTGACAGGTCACAGTGTTAGCCCCATAATTCAATTATCTCCCACTGGGTCCCTCCTATAACACATGGGAGTTATGGGAGCCGCAATTCAAGATGAGATTTGGGTGGGGACACAGCCAAACCATATCATCCCTCAATCTTTAATCTTGTTCTTCTGCTGGGGCTCCCAATTATTTAACCCAGTCTATGGGGATATGAGACCACATCCAGGTCACATAGTATTACAAAGTATTCTTCTTTGTAATTTTTGAGATTGAAACTAAGAGAAAATATGTGTCTTGCTCACAAAAGAGCCTCATGAAAACAAGCAGATTATAAAGAAAACTTTTAACCATATACAGAAGGTAAAGAAACAAGGGACATTGTTCCAGGCCCTAGATCTGGCTGTCACTTATACCAGAGCACCCTTCTTGCCTTGCCTCACTTCACTTTCAGTTTGTTCATGGAAAGTGAGGTTCTATCACTCATCAAAAAATTACCCATCTTCTAACTAGGACAACATCCATTATCTCATTTAAGCCTCCCACCAACTATGTACAGCATATATTATCTTTATTTCATAAATAAGAAACCAGAGGCTCAGGACAGAAAAGAAGCATGCCCAAAGCATACAACTAGTGACTGAGGTATGATTCCAAGATGGGTCCTTCAGATGCCCAAATGCAACCACTGTGCTTTCTTGCATCTTTCTACCCTGTCTTTTTTTGAGTTTCGTAAATTCCAGTGTGAGCTCCATAAACTCAGACAATCTGCAGTAGGTGCAAGTCTTCCCTTCACTAATAAACACAGATGCTGTTGCTCCTGATTACCTCCTAAGAGTGTTACAGACTCCAACTGAATAACCTTGACAAAGTGCTCTGAGAATGTTAAAAGACATTATTTTAGACCACACTATTAGACGTAACATTTGCTTCTTGCAATGTCAATAATTGGGAAGAAGAAAAATAGCTTTTTTTTAAAGCAACCTTAGAAAACTGTACATAAATATTTGCTTCCAGTAATTAATTGAACATTAATATGTTTGCTTTAGACACCAAAATATAATTGGTATTTCAGAAGTGGGCTTCCTCAAGAGACTGAAAATTAAAATCAAAAGAGGAACCTTTCTAGAAAATTGGATCTTTCTACTTTTGTAAACATCCTTTTTTCTCTCCACCAGATAGATTTTTATTTGAGTACTTCTTTGGTCTTAGCACTTATTTATAGAACTAAAGTGGCCATGGTCTTCAAGATTAATTATTAACACAAATCTGAGAAGTGCTCAGAGCCATGAACTTAGGAATGGAGAAAAACAGACATATACAAACCAAGTGAAGATAGATTTGTGTGTAAATCTAATTTTCCTCAGAAGAAAAATAGACATTTCTTCAACATAAGGATGTATTCAGATTTGCTTTGCATATTAGTAACTTATTTAATATGGCAATGGGCAAAAAGCAATCCATTAAAAAGCAATTTTGCTCTTACTACAGGGTGTTTTATCATTTGATGTCTAGCATTCAGTCAGAATGTAACAATCCTTTAATATTTTATGAGCAGAAAACAACTCATTTGGGCATGTAGGCTTCAGAAACATGAATGTTTTTTGTAAGCCTTGACAAATTTCCAAAATGGGCTTTGCAGATGATGGCAAACAATAAGTCAAACTAAAAACTTAAAGTTAAAACTACCACAACATTGGGGGAATTATGCTTAGGGACAGATGATGGGTATGTGATAAAAAAAACATAATGACAAAACTCACAGAAAAAGTGTCAGTCCCAGCTCATTCTCCCACTTTCTAAGTGTATAGGAAGCTTTCTGAACTTCTGCAGGGACAAGGACCATAACTGGTTCCTTTGTACCTACAGTGTCCCTCATAGTCCGTGGCATGTACTGGATAGATTTTAATTGAACACATTAATAAATGTGTTTGTCATATTAGGTGAAGAGAGACTGCTCCGAAAATGTCAGGCCTCAGCTTTCCAAGCCCAATCTAATTGCAGAAACTGGGCCTGAGTGAGTTGTGGCAGAAAGTTGGGAGTCTTCTCTTCACCAGAAGGTGGGAGATGGAACAGTCTTCAGTGCAAGAAAAGCATCTGCTGAACCTCCAGGGACCCTTGAGGTGTTTGCCTTCATCTCCACTCTGTTCTTTCAGCCCAGAAATAGGGTTCTGTCCTGATTCCTGGATTGATTACAAGGTCCCCGAAAGGCCAGGAGTGCCACTCTACACCTGCCAGAGATCAAGCCCTATCCCCTATTCTGTCTCCACCCCATCCCCAAGTACAAAGTGAACACACCTAAGGAGGACTACCTGCCCAGACTCTTGCCAGCTGTGGTCCCCTCTGCCCACTGCATGGGGACCCACTGACCTAGAGGCCAGCCCACGTCAGGGTCATGTTTACCCTGCCTGCATGTGATCTGGAATTCAGCCATCTCTTCCAAGCTATTCCTCACAGGTTGGATACAAGCTGTTCCCAAAGAGCTCTTCTCACTGAGATCACTGCAATTTCAGCCAGAAAATGAACACAACTACTCAAATCACCCAAAATACTACCAATCCATTTCTAGATATTCTGCCCTGGAGAGAACCTGGAAGTGTGGGAGCACAGTGCAGATTGTGAGTAATTCACTTAGGGACACGAGGCCCTAAGTAGCAGAGTTGAACTCAGCTCCCCTCTATTCCCAGCAATCTCCCCCTCCAAGACCAGATCACTCTTCTGTGTTAACTTTTAGCAGGATAGACATATGTCCCTTGGGCAAAGGGGGAAGCAGATAGCTATGCATGGCACATCATAGAACGTGAGTGAAGGTACATATAGACAGTGTGCCTTCTGCTGCCATCCAGATGAGCATGAATAGCCAAAGGGTGTCATCAGAAAGGAGGGGACAAGGAAGGGCAGTACAGAGCATTACCTTGGACACAGACACACCTGCCTAGTCGAACACTACTACTCACTCCAGTTCCTGAATACTAACTCCTAGATGATCCAGACATGCTTTTCAGCCAGCAACTTTCACTAATTTCCTCCACTAAATTGAGATAAACATGAAACAGTCACAGTTATCAGATGGAGGAATTCAGCAGGATTTGTTTGATTTAGGACTTACATTCTTAAGCTGAGTAAACAGTACATGATAGTGCAGACTGAAATCTCAGTGAGTTAGTCTAATTAGGGAGTAAGAAAAATAACCCAAGTCAAGGACCCATGTAAACAGAAATCCTCACATTTGGTGAACTGTAAACCAGAGGTGATGAACGCACAGATCTTTCAGGTTAGGTTGCTGCTGTTCCAATGCAAAAATGCTCATGTTCCATGTAAATATCGGCTGCTTCCTCCCATGAGCCCTCACTGGAAGATGGTAAAGTCTCCTACTTGGTGAATTTCTTAGTATTTTTCCTTACTAAGTACCAAATTTTTTAGTTTATTTCAGCAGCACCTGTAGTCAGTTCTACACTGTAAATAAAACATAACTCCCTTTCCAATGTAATTACCAGATTCCTCCCATTAATCATTTCAGACCCTTATTTTAAGCTCTCAAGCAGGCAACTGAATATTTATGTTTTCATAGTAATACCAACAAACGCACCAACATTTTTCTTGTATAAACAGACTTTTTCTGGTGCTCATGTTATTAAGCCTGTGAGGAAAGATTTATGTGTGCTGGCTTCTAGATGTTAGACGAAACGGAAGTAAACCACTTTGAGAAGGCTCATCATCGACAATGATAATGGGAACAGGTTAAATCATATCCACCTTCATAGGTTAAAGCCAAATTATGCCAATGAGCAAAAGACAAGAAAATTATCATCCTTTCTTTTTCTGTATGTACTCTCATAAGTTTTGTGATATAAGCAAGAAAAAGAGCAACAAAAATATTTCTGACCACATTTGTCATTTTCAGCTACCTATTTTCTTCAATAATTTCTTTTTTCTTAGAGAAAGTATTCTGAATGATGGAAACACTGGGAGCAAGAGAATTTCATTAAGGCATTCAATTTTTCTTTATAGAGAAAAATTGTTTTGAAAGAAAAAAAAGAAAATGATCTACTGATAGGTTATAAACTGGAATTTTAAAAAAGAAATCCATAGATTTTTTTTCCTGAACAGAAGCACCTGTTTTAATATATACTCATTTTCATGAGTATTTGAAACTCAGCCACAATATCTGAAAATTTCTCCATTCCCAGAGGTTTTAATAACATTTATTTCCAGGGCAGATATGCAAAAGTATGCATGCTGTAAACTTGGGCCAAAAAATAATCAACCTATCCACAGTGACGACCATAAGAAGCTGTTGGTGTCTTGGGATTTCTTCATACAGGTAAGGGCACAACCCTTGAAGCTGGGACTCTGCCAGGCTTCACACCCACGTGGGAAATAAGTATACTTACGCAACTCGCCCACTTTCAAGATCTCACACAGCATCTTGGTCAGCTCTATACTACTGCGGCCAAAGGGACATTCATGCTTGTCTTCTCGGCTACTGTTCTCAAGCACAATCTGTAATGGGAAAGGGAATAGATCAGAAAGGGAATTCAATTGCTGAAAACATCAAGAATATCAGCTTCATTCCAACAGAGGAATACGCAGATGCACTTCAGATCCCCAAACTGGGGACAGGACTAGTACTCAAAGTATATAGGACCTAAAAGTCTCATTTTTCCCTCTAAATCTCTGACAACCCTCTTCAGGCCTGTAAGAGGATATTTTGCTTGTTGGTTTCCATTTATATAGAGGAGCCTGTGGAGAGCATTTTGGAACAGTACAATAAAGAGATTTTTACTTCAGTAACCAAATGACTCTCTTGTCCTCCCATTTCTGTCCTCTTTTCTTGGGAAAAGTAACTGCTTCTGTGACTTCATCTCAAATTTCAATAGGATATTTTTCAAGGAAGTCCATAGTCCTAGAAGATCTCACCCTCTGGCATCAGATGACTACATCATGCCTGGAAAACATGACATGATGGACCAATCAGAGTCTTTCCCTGAGACTTCGTACCAAGAGGAAAATTGGAGCCAGGCATGGTGGTTCACGCCTATAATCTCAGCACTTTGGGAAGCTGAAGCAGGCAGAATTGGAGGTCAGGAGTTGGAGACCAGCCTGGCTAACATGGTGAAAACCTGTCTCTACTAAAAATAAAAACAAAATTAACTGGGTGTGATGTTGGGCGCCTGTAATCCCAGCTAGGGGGCAGGCTGAGGCAGAGAATCGCTTGAACCCAGGAAGGAGAGGTTGCACTGATCCAAGATAGTGCTACTGCAGGATGTGGACTTAGGAGTGACCTGGATGTTGGCCCTTAGAAAAAAGAAAAAAAGGCAAAGTAAAACAGACATGAGAGGCAGTGAGAGACCTAGAAGTGTCTGAGACTGGTTCCACCTGTTCTTACTGGTCCCCCTGTTCCTATAGCACAGATACTTCCCTGTCTTTCTCCTTTGGCTGCTCAATCTCTCCTCTGAAAATCCTTTTGTCCATCTAATAAATTATCCTCTTTTCTTAAGCTAATCTGAGATGTTCATATCACTCTCAACCATGGGAATTACTCTACAAAGAGATTAAACAAAAGCAAAACAAAATAACAAAACTCTAAAGTTACAGAACTTTATCCATGTCTAAAGCTACCTCTCCAAAATTCATCCTCAGTAAGAGTTGTCTGGGACTTCCTTAATAGCTACACCACTTTGAATGATCATTTCTCAGTAGCATCTACAATGATGCTGTGCAGTGACTCACTGTTTTGTTACCTCCACAGACTATGAACTCTTTTGTGGCAGGGACAGGTGTTTTATTCACTTATTGAACAATATTAATTGAGCACCTATTATGTACCCGGAAGATGGCTGAGCCCCATAAAATGGAGAACAAGATAGACAAGGGCCCTGACCTCATTGAGTACTCATTCTAACTGAAGGACACAAAAACAAAAGAGGTAGTTACAGTTTATCAAAAGTGCCATGAAAATAAAGTATACTTGTTGAATGACAGAGAGTAACAGGGAATGCTTGAGGAGGGGAGTTTAGATAACCAGGTGATCAAGGAAGGTTCTCAGACTACTGAGAATCAAGTGATGAGAAAGATCTCGCTATGTCAAGGTATGTGAGAAAGAACAACCCAGGTAGAGAGATTAAGATCAGAGCCCATTGAGGTGAGCTGGGCAATGGGCTGGCCTCCCCAAAACATACACAAAAGCAGTCTGCCCAAGCACGGAGAAGCTCATTTCACTCAGCCTGAATAACCCTTTTCCTTTTCAGGGAGCCCATTCTGGTTCTAACCAGAAATTCCCATTCCAGAAAGCAGGAGGGGAGAATAACTAAGTGCCATTAATCAGTGAATCTTATATCCCTTGTAAATATTTTGTATTTGAGACAGCCACATCAGAGAGAAAATCTGAAGCTCCAGAAATGAACTGAAAAAAGGAAACAGAGCCAGAAGACAGAACATAAAGAAAAGACAGAAGACAGGTAGTTTTCATCGGCTCCCAGCTCCCAGAGAACACATTCCCTTGTATTTCACATTAACATTCTATTAACATTTCATGAGCACATTAATATTTAATGAGGCTGTGATCTGCATACACTGTAGGTAGAATTATTGCAGCCAATAAATGCTTGGGAAACATTTCTAAGGCACAGTTTATTAGCAGGCACTAAATTAAGTAGTAATTTAAGTAATCAATATGCAAATCAGCTTGGAGAAGTCCTGCTCTTTATTTTTTAATGCACCATCCATCTTATCACATTTACCCACCTAAAGAAAAATAAACCCGCTGCCTTCTTGACTGATTTCTGTTGTCAAGGCAGACACAAATATTTAAAGCTATTTGTGTGACTTTTAAGATTCACCTTCTTACAAAAATATTGTAGAAAAGATTATGATTATGAATGCCATTAGTTAGATATTACTATAGTGAGAGATAATTCTTAAGCTGGACAATAGGTTTTATTTAAGACATTGATACATCTACATTCAATTTTGACATTCTGATATTAACGATGTCCATCAAAGACATTTTGAAAAGCTCCATTTGGAAACATCAAAGCATATTTTTCATATTTATTTTCCCCTTTACTCTACAGTTTTAAGAGCATATATGCTAGAACAGAAATCACAATGAAGTACTAAAGCCGCTATTACCACTCATCTTAGAATACATCACATACCGAAATAAGCTCTTTCTGCATGTTTTATTAAAAAAAAAAAACAACACTAGATATCTGTGCACTGTGAAGTTATATTTTATAAAATTCTTCATAGTTTACAAAATACATTTATATATTCTCTATCAATTGATTTCCAACATGTCCATCCATTGATAAAGTAGGTATTATCAGTCTCTTAAGAATGCTGAAACTAAAGGTAGAGGTGACTTTCTAGCACCCCAGAGCTAGCCTGTGTTAGTCTGGAGTTCAAATTTTTTTTTTTTTTAAGATGGGGTTTCATTCTTGTCACCTAGGCTAAAGTGCAGTGGCGCAATATTGGCTTGCTGCAATCTCCGCCTCCCAGGTTCAAGCAATTCTCCTACCTCAGCCTCCTGCATAGCTGGGATTATAAGGCACCCACAACCATGTCTGGCTAATTTTTGTATTTTTAGTAAAGACGGGGTTTCACCATGTTGGCCAGGTTGGTCTCAAACTCCTGACCTCAGGTGATCCACCCACCTTGGCCTCCTGAAGTGTTGCGATTACAGGCATGAGCCATCATGCCTAGCCCTAGAGTTAAATTTTTAAGGTCTCCAATGACCAAATCTCTTCCAATCTCCTTAGAGTTTACAAATTGGCTTCACGTACATATTACCATGAAACTCAGTAGATTTCATGTATAAAGAAGCTAAGGGGACTTTGATCAATTTCTTATATTTCCTTGAAGTGGTCTATAAGCCCTGCTCCTCCTAGATGAAGCTGTAAGGGTCTATGTCATCTCGTTTATCCCCTGAAGATGACATTACCTCATGATGAGTGACCAGAGCTGCTACAGTATCTCCACAGACTTTATTTCCGTAAATTCCAGACTTTCCTCCAAATGGTCTATGTTTCTTGTCACTCTTCTCCAATCGTGTAGATCAGGAACCTATTTGGCTTGAGCATGACCATGAAGCGTCCAGTTCAAGGCCAGCCTCACTCAAGTATGTATCCCTTCTCTGGCTCTCTTGCCCTCCTTGCCTCAGCATTACATGGCTGATTTATATTCACCTGCTTCCACTTTCTATTGAAGCTCTCTCTTTTCGGGGAAAGCCCAATTCATTCTGTGCCTCCTGGAGCCAGGGCAAGCCTTGAGGGCTTCTTCCATGCCCTGCCATCTGTGGAGGCTTCCCTTCCACTCTCAACCTTTTCCCATGTCACTCTGATGCTAACCTAGTATCAGGTGAGGCATAGTGGCCTCTCCACAGGCCACACCAAGGACAGTGTGTGTGAAGTCGTACTGTCTACAAAGAGAGTGGACACCAAGCAGCTATGAGAAGCACCGATAATGTAGAGACCTTGGACAAAGATGCCATGAAGTAGGGTGGACCCGCAGGTGGCACTGCATCTCTTCGTGAGATACAAAGATGTTAAATAAACTCTGCTTCATGGGACTGTTGTGCATATTGAGTCACACAACAAAGGCAGAGTGCCTAAAACTGACAAGAGTTTGTGCTTTCATCTCTTTATTGTGCTCTCTCTTCCTGTTCCTGCACGGCCCTTGGCCAACATTTCACGCAATACTTTTGCCAGCAGCTAAGCCAAAATCGTGACTGCAGTGAGACTGACTCTCTGATGATGGGCTTCTAGGGACTCATGAAAGTAAGCCAGAGGACTTCTGGTTGTTTTAGCATGAGAGGCAGGGAGAGAGACAAAAGTAGTGTCCTCTCCTGCTTACACCAAGAATGCAAGCTAAAGAGTCCCATGTGCTGGTGTTCAAGCAGGAATCTCCCGCAGGAATGCAGGGTAATAATAGTGGAAAGAATGAAGAAGGACCCCAGGAAACAAATTAATGCCATGACATGGTGCGTCTGGCAATAAATTCCTCAAACTAAACCGTTCCGGCCACCATAGGACAACTGTCCTCAGAATCCTTGTCAACCTCACAAATCTGTTTCCTGACCCACTGGAGATCTTCTTCCTTGCTAAACCAACAAATAAATAAGAAGTTTTGTCAGTATCAATGAGATATCCCCACACTCTAACACAGGGTCAGTGTCACCCTAGGAATAGTATCTGGCAACTCCCCAGAATGAAGCATTAGTCCTTAGATCATATCCTAAGACCCAGACCTATTCCAGGGTCAATGAACAAGCCCAGTTTTGATTTCCCTTATGGAGACATGGGAGTCATAGGGGAGTCACTTCTATAATCTCCCTTGATGCCAATGCTAATGATGACTGGTCCCAAGAAAGCTGAAGACCAGCATGAGAAAGAATGCTGGTCTGCACAGGAGGTTAATTGTGATCATGAATTTTGATCAAGTCCACAGAATTAAACAAACATGTCCAAGCCCTAATAGGATGGTTTTAAATGAGCAGAGAA